AAATACAATTAAAACCAAATATATCAAGTATTAAAAATTTTAAAAAAATTGTGAAGATGGTACCATATTCTTTTTTAATGTTCTTCTAATTCACGTATAAGCCTAGTAATTTACTTGCTTATTCAATTCCTGCTATTAGTTCACACTTACCTATAAAAATTTATGTATATATATATATATATAATCAAAATTTCTCTACAAGAGAGATGATTCAACATGATTAATACTTAAAAGAATATCAATTGCTAGATAACAAGACAACAGAATTTAGAAGGAGATATGAAAAATTGAAATAACACAGTAAAATATAAAAGAATGGATGCTTCAGTATTATCAACAGTATTCAGTATTATCAGTATTATCATCAGTATTATATATATATATATATATATATTTCTATATATCTTGTTCAAATTTTCAATCGTTTATAAAATACTTTGTATTCACCCACCAAGTTTAAATACATTTCTTTAAACTTGTAGTGGATGACACTTGATGTTAATACAGCTTTTTAAATATTTATTCAAAAATTCTATTAAATTAATGAATTAATAGAAAACAAAAATAACAATTCAACACTATATATAGAAAGGAAAATCGCTCGTCGTGTCCCTGTAGCGCAATGGATACTGGATATACACGTTGGACTTCTAATCCACAGGTCGTAGCTTCGAATTCCACCTGGGATAACCTAATTTCTGATGATGTGATTTCTTTTTTACTATTCTATTTTATTAGAATAATTAAATTTAATTAATGAATAAACAGTAACAAATAAAAAAATAGTCCAACACCATGCATAGAAAGAAAAATGGAAATTTGCAGGGAAAATCGCTTTCTTCTTTGCTACTTAATGTTTTGATTCTGTCATATGTATGTACATATTTATAATAATTATAATTATTTAATAAAAAGTTATTAAAATGTAAAATTTTCTTATTTGATCTAAGTAGGAATTGACTTAATTTTTTTTTATATTACTTGTTTTATTCACATCACAAAACTAAATGTTCACAGTTATTAATGGTAAAGTATAATTTTAAGCATGTGAAAATTTATGAACGAAGATTACTATCTTAAATGTCTTTTTTTTTTTATCAAAATAATAATATTAAATCATATTTTTAGATGTTCGTACGAACTCCGAAGTCTTAAGAAATAACATACTTCTGAGAGATCATGAAATTTAAGCTCGACATTTTTCAATAACAGTTCTGCCTCTCTGTAAATTTTTGAAAGAAGTGTATACATTTAAAAGCAAAAAAATAAGTTGAAGAAAAGAAATTTAGATTACATGAACGCTAACTTATAAAATTTACAAAATGTTTCAAAAATTGAATAAAGAGCCAGCCATTCATTTCAAATTAAATTCAATTAACCATTAAATGAATTATAAAAAGAAGAACAATCAATTAGTTTGTCGTTAGTTTGTTGGTAAAACTACATTGTTACTGAAAAATTATTTGCTTAACAATTTTCTTAAATATAAACGTTGATTTTTTCTTTTTTCTTTTTGCTCCCTTTCTGTAAAGTTGTTTCCCCCCAATATCTTTCAAATTTTGTAAATTGTTTTAGTGGCGCCATCTACATGTATTTATAAAACACTTAGTTACAGTTTTTTTTTAAATTTATGTAAAAACTTATGTTGCGAGATAAATTTTACTGAGAATAAACTTTAAGACAGAAGAGAAGCTCAAAATTTTTTTAACTCATAAGCCAAATAAAATGGAGAAAATTAAAATGACATGCATATACTCCGTATTTCAACAAAAATATTAATAATTCAATTTGTTCATCCGTTATATGAAGAGAAATACGAAATTTAAATTTATAATATTCGTAAATATTAATATACTAAATAAATAAAGTGCTATAAATATTAAAATATTTAAATATCAATGAATAAGTGTTCAATAAATCTTCATTATGTCTAAGTTAAAAAAATTAATGGAAGATGGATACCAAAATTTGCTGTTCCAGTTAAAATAAATAAAGCCTCGCCAGAATGTTTTCATTACATTTATTTTGAAACCTATTCCAAGACAAATAGCAGTGGTGTAACGTACACCCCCGCATTGCAGGATTCTAGAAGACCCTAAGATTGACTGACACCAAATACATATTTGGGCTTAGGACTCAAAACCTGACTTTGCAGGGAGGCCAGTGCTGGATTAAATGACTTGGAGACAACTAAGCAGTCGAATTCTTGGGGCCCTGTCGCCTAATAATTTATTACACAACTTTTTAGGAATATATTTCATTGAACAAATAAAATAACAAATTATCAGCAAATTTAAAAAAATATAACTAAACAATAATTATTTATTAGAATCTGTAATAAGAAACTAACCCTTGTAATAAAATTAGCTAAATATTTGGTTTTCACAATTTTGGAGGGACCCATAGGCAATGGACTACTCCGCCTAATGAGTAATCAGGCACTAAGGGGGACCCTAATATTCTCCGTTACGCCACTGACAAATTGTGTAACATAATTCTCATACTAAAAAAGATTAACAGATAAAGAGCATTAGAATAAAATTTATGCTTATTTATTTCCTGTCAGCTGATTTTTTTTAACAAACCAAAGAAAGAAAGATTTTTGCATCACAAAATAATTAAACCAGTTATGCGAATTTCAAACAAAACAGCATGAACTAATTAATATTTAAATTTGTATTATTGCTCTAAAATTAGTTACTTTCTCTCTGTGTTCGATATCCAAAATCAAAATGAGTTATTTCGAATATTAATTTCGATATAAGATCGCAACAAAACAAATTCATGTAATTAAAATACAACTCACAGAAAAATCTTAAATATTCTCGAAAGCACTTAAATGACTGCATTTTTTGAAGTAGTTATTTGTTTAGTAAAAATATAACAGTAGGAACATTTTTTTATTTTCCAGGAATTCGAAAATTATTTAGTCTATTATGAAAGTTTCACATTTCGTTTCTATTGGAATTTAAAGTACTCATTATTTATAATGGAAGATCGCAAATAATCTTTTTGTTAGAGAATGTCATAGTTTTCAGGAATTTAAATGTAAATATGCAGTAACATCATCATTTAATGATCTTTAGTTCTACCAAATAACATCTTTTTCAAGAAATTACTACTTATTTACTTATTTTTTGAGTCTGGGTTTGATTTCTTATAAAAATTGTTCATACTTATTATTTTCTCTTCTTCGCTTTTTTAAAATAGATGATGATTATTGAAAAATAAATTCGCAGAACAGGTATAAATTCTTTACGGTTTTATTCTTTTTAGAGTTAAAAAATATTTAAAATTCCCAGATCCAAGTTTTCTTAATCCTTTATTAATCAACATAAAAGGAACATATACGCACGCACGCGCATAGAACATTTTTATCATACTTTTGCTTAGTTTGCCGACATATTTTTAATTTCAACCGCGTTCAGGTAATTTTCTTAACATGTAAATAAGTACTTGTCATTCGAAAAATTTGTATAAACTACATAAATACGAAAAAAAAAAAAAAGATGTGAATATTTTTTATGTCTTTTAAATTTAGAAAACAACGTAAATCTCCATATTTCCCCCCGAAATTTTAATACTTTTTTGTGCATATTGTGTGAAATAAAATTTCTTTATAATATAGTTTTTAATATTCATAATCGCTTGGGTTATAGAATATATTTAAATAAGTTTTAAGGCTTATTTTCTACTTTCTTTTTGTTCCGAGTGACCACCAGTGGCGGAGTGGTAGCGCGTCGCGCTTCCATTCAATAGGCCCGGGGTTCAAATCCCGGGCTGGACAAGGTCAACTCAACCTTTCATCCCTTGAGTGGGTCGATGAGTACTAAGCTTACCTTTGTGGGGACTGTGAATACTTGAGTTTCGTGTCAGACAGACCACTTGACCGGCTCAAGCACCTCAGTGCTCAAGGTCATGAAAACTGAAATGGGCACAGAAAGCCTTGGCACTCTATGGGTTGTTGCGCCACTGAATTAAGTTTGCACAAAATTGAAATAAGTTTCCCTTTTTAAATTTTTCCCTTAAAAATGGAGTAAAATTTCAAGATTTTATTTCTATAATCTTCTATCTTCATTTCATGCTACAAAAAGGTGTTTAAAAAATTTGTTATGATTTTAACCTACGTATAAATAGGCAGATCTCCCCTTCTTTCAGGAAACGAGAGCATGAATTTTCAGTACAATAAAAACGAAACATTTAAAGTCAACATTGTATTGAAAAATTCATAATCTTCTTGATCAGAAAATCACAGGTTGCAATTTCGATTTCATAAAAGACCCTCGTATGAAATGCTGGCATATATTTCTAGTTTACAGCAACAAGATTTTTGCTTAAGTGTAACTTAAACTAGATTATCAATAAAAAAATTTAAAAAAATTAATTAATATATTTTCACATTAAAGCACTTTTTTTTTCACTATGTAATGGAATGTTTTTATATTTACTACAACTTTAATTTTCATATTAACTTCAAAAATATGAGCATCATATTAAAGTCTTTTTCATTTCTTTAAAAAGTAAATGAGCTAAGTTGTTATTATTATTATTATATTACAATTTTATTGCTTTGAAAGTGTGAACTTCCATTTTGACTTTTTTGCCCCTTAAGTCAAAAATCTTTACACGGCTTGAAAAAGAAATTTTGAGAATAAGGTACACATTCAGGTGCGTCATAATTCCTCAAAAACTATTAAATTAATTTATTTTTATTCTCAAAACTGTCCTAAGCCGTTGTCACTTGAAATCTGTAACTCACTAAAAAACTAATGGAAGTTAAAATTAATTTAGTCTGTATTTTGAAAAAGTTAAATTGAGATTACTATTCCATATTTTTAAAAATAAGCTTGCACTTAGAAAAGTAAAAATTGAGTTTGTATGTTACTATTAAAGTGTAAAATCCGTTATTTTATGTAATAAATTAGTATTTTGTGAAATAACTAGATGAGACAGTTAAAGTATATAAAATTATTGAATTCTACAATTTAACTAGGTAATCTGCCACCCAACCGGTATGGTGGATATGACCCTCGGCTTGGAACCGAGTGTGCTCGGGTTCGAATCCCGATTAAGGCTTGGATGTGTCTACTTCGGGGGAAAAGAAGTCGGACATTCGCCTGAAATCGATTCCCGTTTAGAATGGAAAACAGCGCACCCTTTCTGTTCTATGCTGGGATCGTCGTTTGTTAAAAATGTTTGTATTCTATGTTTCTGTTCTTCCATTCGTCTTTCATATGTATCCCAGGATTACAATAACAACAACTGGTAATCTATAGAATTACTATTACACTTGATCGGAAAAATATTTGAACTTGTTTTAGCTGTTTTTAGTCAGTTTTGAATCTCTTATAGCTGCTTTTGGGAAAGATTTTTCCGATCTCAGTTCAGTATATGTGAGAGAGAGTTAATTTTCATTGAAGAAGTTTCAAATATTGACATAACGCTTCGATATGTTGTAACAACTGAAAGTTGCGGCACTGGACAAGGATTTAAAAAGTGCTCGTGTAAAAAAAAAAATGAGTTATTGTAAAAAGTGTGTGCTTGTTTCAAAAATAATATGTACATCAAAGTGTCATCACGGCAATCCTTACTGTAATAAATGATGGAAAGTAAAATAAAGGTATTTCATAAAATTTAAATTCATATTCTCTTACATTTTTGTTTGAAAAAGTTTACACAATGTTTTTATGAAGCACAGTTTTTCTTCCCGTCATCTATTTTTTTGATGATATTTAAATATAACTATTTCTGCAACATGTTCTTTTTCCCATTTCTGTTGAACTAATGTTAGCAATGTGAACAATAAAAATTATATCATCTCTGCTTTCCCTTATTATTTATCAATTTATCATCCGCAATTGGGATAAAATGTATTTTTCAAGGGAATTTAACTATTTGTAATAAATTAATTTATAAAATAACTTTAAAATTATTCATTTTTCACTTAAATGGTCTATCATTAGTTATTTCGTGGAATAACTAGGTAAAGTATGAAAATTTTCGTCTATTATATACTTTAACTGACGTCTAGTTATTTCATGAAATATCTAGTTATTCTATAAAATAACTGAATTATACACTTTAACGGCAACATATACATTAAAATTGGAACGATACAGAGAAAATCAAAATGCTTTCCGTATTTTTTTCCAGAGACACATTCAGAACCTCACTGGTAAAGTCTTACACGCGAACAGTCCAGCTTATCCTTTCTCACTGCAAGCGGCAGATTTATCTCAAACTTGTGAATTTTGATTTCGATTTATTTCATATGTTTTTAGCTTTAACTTCCCTCATAACCTTCATCCTCTACTTTATTATGACTTGATATAAATATTACGTACATGAACTTATGACGAAACCCTGTTTTCCTTTTGATTTTTGAGATAAGTAAATATTAAATGTTTTCCTAACCGTGGGGTTTACACAAATTGTTAGACAGTTTCACTTCTTTCATTTTTTAAGGAACACAATATAAATTTCTGCATTAAAACACTAAAAATACACTTTTTATGAAATCGGTCCTCTCCTCCCCTTCCTTCCTTCTCTTCCCCTTGCTTTTCACTAATCGGAACTTTATGCTGGTGTCGCCATCTACAGAGTTTTTATAATACTAAAGTTTCAGTTACATAATTATTGAAAACATTTATTACATTTTAATTTCAAATGAACAATGTTCTTATTGATACCAAACAAATTTTTACTCATAGTCATTTACAGGAAGACTTTTAATTTCATTCAAAATCTAAATTGATGTAAGGATAACAATACAAGTACATATTTTACGAAATTTTTGAATTTGCTATAATGACTCAGAACGTGATATTTCAGAAATTAAGCACGTGTTACAACTAATAAAAAAACATTGAAGAAAGATTATTTAATAAAAGTCATTTTTTGTAATGCGATGTAAGAAATTCAATTTTGAATATAGTTTTTGTGATATTCCGGTTTATCAAAAATAAATAGTACATGCACTTATTCTGTCACTGTACTTATAGAAACTTATTAAATATTATTCTGTTGTGATGAATATCCTTCTCCTGACAATATAAAGCTTTAATTCTTTCAGTAGTTTTGTGCTGATATAATTCGAAGCTGTTTTTAATCTTTTTTTTGGGGGGGGATATTATAAAGATATTAAAAATGGTATACTTTCGCATGCTACATTGTTTAAATTTTACGAAATCGTACAAATGTTTGATAATAAAAAAAAAACTTCTTTATTAAATGTGTCGTATTAGTGTAGTGAATAATCAAAATACTATACAATTTTTTATTGATGTAATAGAAATAACTCATTTCTATACATTTTTTATTTAAACTTAAGAAATTAGTATCTTAATATGTGGTAAAACTACTGTAAATAATTTACATACCTGTATTTAAAGCATAATTTCAATACACGGTAAAGAATTTTAAAAAATTAGTATGTCTTCCTTTGGATGTATTGAAAATTAGGTTTTCCATTAGCGCAATAAATACTACTATAAAACTTTTTTTTAATTGTATCCAGAAAGTAAGATATATAAAAGTATTGAAAAAATATATAGGTACCATAATATTCATGAGTATTGAATTGAGGGGAGTTCTTCATCTAAACATAAGTTTTTTGTATTCTTCATGAAATAAAATTAAAATAATTTATAAAAGAATGAAAAATTCGTTCCAAATAATCTGCCTTAAAATAATAAGTGGCCGAATTAGTCAGTTATCTCTCATAGCTTTTAATACCTTTAATTTCTTTTAGACTTTAGATACTTCATTAATAAATCTCAAGTAATATTTAATTACATTACTTTTACTTGAGTTGTTCCAGAGCCCCGTGCATTAATTAATGAAGTTTGTTATGAATAGTTGGACTACTTTGAAAGACAATAACATCTTTCAAGAGAAAACTAGAACTTTGAGAATATAAATTTTTTAAAAATTTAATTAGGAAAAAAAAAAAGCAATAGGAAACATTTCAGAATAAACTGAACTAATAATAAAACTAAGAAACTTTTTATGTATCTTAAAATGTGTCTTATATATCCTAATATAGTAAGTATAATGCAAATTATCAAGAAGAACTTAGATTTATAAGCATTTGGTCTTTATTTAGAAAAAGTTATTTCCTAATATTTTTGTAAGAAGTCATGAAAGTCTGAATAAATTTATTTATTTTGAAAATTTTTAAAACAGATGCAAAGTAAGTTTTAAATAACATTCTATTTTTTCACAGAAAACATGAAATATCATTGGTTTCTTTCTTTATAGTATGTTCTAGTATTTTATATTTGAAGAATTTGTTATAATGAAGAATTTGTTAATAGGTCATAATTTCGTTTCGTAATAACATAACAGATGGCAGCACTATTAAGAATACATTTTTCCCATTACTATGAAATAATTTTTTGTTTTTGTTTTTTTGTTTTTGTGTAATTTGAATGAAGTGTTGTAAAGTGATACACACATGAGATACCCAGTGATTCACAATTTTTAGATGAAAACAAAACTGCTTACTCAATAAAAATAATTTTTTTTTTTAAATTATTTTTTGCAGAGAACATGAAAACTTTACCAAGAGAGAGAATTTTTCGTCGCACTAATCAGTTCTTCGAGGGCTTTTGACGACAGGCCTCGTAATTTCGAACCTTAATCAAATAGTCACCTGAGATGGAATTCCCCTCTCCTAACTTCCACACCAACGACAGGATGTTTGTGTCTTGACCAGTGGCGGCGCTAGACCACGCGTGGACGTCGGCGAAATTAGGGTTCGCGAGGCCTTTTTTCCCAGTCAAGAAAACGTTAAATTATATAAGCCGAATTATAGTTAAACTAATGTATGAGTAAACGAGATTTATTGCTAATCAAATGATGACAAAATTACACAAATAGAATTTTTTATAATTAAAAATTAATTTAATTTAAATAATTTTAAATAATTAAAAACTTTGCGAGGCCCCCTCATGCGCGAGGCCGTCGCCACCACTGGTCTTGACACACTTAATGTGCATCGCCCCCCTACCTTACACGGCGGGTCTGCAGCGGTCTACGAACCCATGACGTGCAGTCAGGAGTCCGTTACCTTGTCCACTAGGCTACCGCGGCCTTGAAAACGTTATCAAGTTAATACAACAAGATTAGAATTTGCTTAACATATAACAGGTTTAAGTAATAAGTGTAATTGCAAAAATAGACTGACAAGTAAATATGCAAATATAATAATAGAAAATAAATATTTAATAAACATAACTTCCTAAAAATTATAGTATTGAACAAATACAAAAATCAAAATAAAACAAATATATATTTAGGTGGTTATATTAAAATAATAGAAACAATATAGATATTTATAAAAATTAAATATCCTTCATTAATATAGTGTAGGGCCGCCTTTGGCATGTAATACACCTTGATTCGCCAGGAATCAATTTTTACAATTGCTGAATAGTGTTTAGGGGAATATAGTACCATTCTTCATGGATATATTGTGAAAGTTCTGGGAGAGATGCCGGTGGAGCACATCGATTCCGTATATATTCCCGTTTCTAAAATATACTATAACGGTTCAATTATATTGAGGTCGGGTGGCTATGTGATCCAAGGTAGATGTTTAATTTCATCCTCGTGTTCATCAAACCATGACTTCACAACATGCTACATAGATAGGTGCATTATCATCCTGGAAAATTTCATCTCCTGCTGGAAACAAAGTTTGCATCTTAGGATAGACCTGGCCAGCTGAAAATGCTCTATACTTCTCCCCAGTGATCCTTCCTTTCAGGGTTATGATTGATTCAGCAGAGAACCAAGGCATGGCTGCCCATATTAATAGACAAATCCACCTCCTTGCATGGCAGTTGGAAGGAGAGAATCACGATCATATGCTTGTGCAGATGTCCTCTGAACGTGCATCCGTCTTGTAGTTGGGGAAAATGTGAAAGAAGATTCGTCAGACCATATTAATTCCTTCCACTTACCATTCGACCAGGCTTTGTGAGTGTGACACCACTGTAGACGACGTTTGTCATTAACATCTATGAGACAAGTGGTTTGGATATTGCTGCTTTGCCGTAAATAGTCTGTTTATG